GCAAATCCCCGGGCGGGAGGGCAGGCGGGATGGCGGGGGTGTGCGGTGCCGCCTCCGGAGAGCGATCCCCGGCAGCTCCCCCCCCCTCCTCCTCCCCGCTGCGGCTTCGGAGCTTCGGGGATGCGGTGTGGGAGCTGCCGGTGAACTTTTTATAGTTGCATAAAGCAAACGCAGCCCCTGGGGGTGCAGGGGTCTGGGGGTTCTGTGCTCAAACCGGGGGGGGGGGTCATGCCTGCACACCCCCTCGGGCAGCGTGTTGGGGCTGTCACTTCGGCAGCAGCCGGGCTGGCAGGACGGTGCCAGTTCTCCGGGTGGGACGTGGAGCCAACTGTCTTGTTGAAAAGTGCTGGGGAAACGGGGTCCCCAGGAGCTTCTGAGGTTGGTTTTGTCCAGGAGGGAAATACCAGAGGGGCTGTGGCTTTGGTGAGGGCAGGATAACTGCAGGTGGTGGGGTGGCACGGGGCAGCATCCCACCCACACCAAACCCCTCCGGCCGGTCCAGCCGCACCGTTTGCTCCCAGGGTGCTGGGGGATGCTGTGCTGCTCTGGTGCTGCTGCTCTGGGTGCTCACAGCTGAAAGGAAAAAACTCCCCGGGTGCTCAGGCTGGGTGCTTGGCTGGAACTGATAACTGGCGTGTGGGGCCACGGTCCCCTGGGTGTGCCGTTGGCCTGTCCCCATCCCCGCAGAGACCCGTCCCGGCACTCTGACCCACGCTGCTTACTCTGATCGAGGGGCACTTGGCTCACCCCGTCGTAGCGTTTTGCCTAATCTTCCTGTCAATAATTAATCGAGGCGAGACCTGACAAAAAAAGGCCACCTTCCTCTCGGAGGGCCGGGGATGGCAGAGGGGTGCGGAGCGGCGGGACTCGGCCGCGGTGAGCGTTTTCTCTGCCACCGCCGCGCTTTGACTCGCCATTTCCAGGGAAATGTGATTATCCCTGGCGTCAGAGCAGCCCTGCAAGGCGCCTGCCTGGGGGGGGGACAATGCTCAGACGTAGCGTGGCTTGGTCCTGATCCAAAGGGTCTTCCTGAGCGGGGAGGAAATGCCGTTAGCGAGGCGGTGGCGTGGTTTGGTGTGGTTTGGTTTGTTTTGGTTTGGAGCGGTGCTGGGCAGTGGGTGCTGGTGTCGGTGCCTGCTGAGGGTACGTGCTGGTGGGAGAGAGGCAGAAACTTGCCCTGATGGGGCTGTGAGTGGGTGTGGAGCTGGGTGTGCAGTGAACCAGCCTCTCCATCTGCCAGAGTGACTTGTGTCACCCATCGGTAGGGTGCAAGCAGCTTTAAAGCCCAGGCTGGCTTTTCAGGACCACTGTAAAGAAGGCTCTTGATCTGCTCCCACCTTCCTTGGGCAACTTGGATTTTGCCCCATTGACATCACAGTTTTATTATCACTAACACAGATATCTTATGGTGCACCTCCCCAGGCTTTCTCCTGCCCTGTGTCTTTCCTCCTTCCGGGCTTGGATTGCAAAAGCTCACGGGGCTTTTTCCTTTTTTTTTCCCCTTCTTTTCTGGTATAAGTTGGTTGTAAAGAGAACAAGGCTTTAATCTGGCTTCGGTGCTGGTGCTGAGCGGAGACTTTAAGAGGGGTTTGCACTTCCCTTTCCTCTTCCCTCCCACCTCCAGACCCAGAGCATGCTCTGGCAGCTTGCTCAAAATCAAAGGCTTTCTTAAAAAAATAAACAGCGAGGGAATTGACCCTTTAAAGGTGGAATATTCCCTCTTAGCTTTTTCAGACTGGGATGCCCTGCTTAGGCATGAACACCAGTAACAGCCCGGCTGTCCTGTACGCTCCTTTTGGGTAGATCCTGATGCATTTAACTGAGCGGGTCGGTGTCACCGCTGCTGCAGGACCCCATCCCCTCTGGGCTCTGTGGTTCTGGATGTGCCAGGACCAGGGAATTTGGCTTGTGCTCCACGGAGCTGAGTTCCAGTGATCAGATTTCACCCTTTCGTGTGTATTACTGAGGTGTTTCGGAGTTTTCAGCACTGACAGAGTTGCAGGGATGTTGCACGAATCCTGAACGTGCCTTTCCCAGGAGAGCTCGTCCAAAGGAGATGTCCAGAGGAAGGAAGGTGAAACTGTTCTCGGAGGGAAACCGAAGTGTTCCCAAAAACATAGATGTTTAGCCCCAAAATAAGCCCGGGTTCCCCCGGGAGCACATTGCTCACCTCTGCCAGCTCCAGAGGAGATGAAAAGCTCTTGAAGTCGGGGTGACGTAGCTCTCGGTGTGGATGGTGTGGCACAGTGACCTGCATCGTGGTGGAGGAAGAGCCAGGGCTGGGGTGAGGCTCGGCGCTGCTCACCGAGACGGAAACCAGCCGTTCTGCCCGGTGCCAGGCTCGCTGCCAGACCTTGAGAGATAAACGGGGCTGGTGTTTATCTACCGAGCGTGTGCCCGACCTGATGCGCGGCAGAGAAGTAGGATGAGGTGATTTCTTCCTCGCTCGGCAGGGGGGTGGGTGCTGTGGCACTGGGGTGGGATGCAAGGAGGTCACTGACGGTGGGCTGGGAGGGTGGGCGATGCTCCAGCTGCTTCCCCTTTGCCTTCCTGGCTCGGTGTTTGCTGCCTGGAGCTTCAGCCGGAGCAGCAGCTTGAGCAGCCCCCTGCTCGCCTCCCGCAGCACCCCATTTATCCCAGAGGTGGGGAAAGGAGTCTGGGTTGAAAGTATTTCTGCAGAAGCAGCACGAAGTTTGCCCCCTGCTCCATTTGTGCAGGACCGTGGCTGTAAATACCACTCTTCCCTCTGCCTCTGGAGAGTCAGTTCTTGGTGGCTGCAGGTCAGGAGCCCAAGGCAGACGCTCGGCACGAGGCTGGTGGCTTCTCTTGGCAGCAGACCCTGCCCGGCGAGCTCCCTTCGCCCCGAGCCGCGTGGCCCAGCCAGGGAACCCTGCGGCATCATTCCCAGGGATGCTCTTTGGCCTCTGGTTACCCAGGAAACTGCTGGCAAATGCCGGAGCCGGTGGCCGGGGAGGGCAGGGAGCTGTGAATCACCTTCCTCCTCATCACCAGAGCTCTCCCAGCCGGATGTTTACCGAGCTGTCGGCCGGAGGAGATGCCGGCAGGTCCCTGTTCCAGCATGCCCGGCTCCCAGCCTCGGGTGCTGTGTGTGAGGAGCAAAGAGGGTGGTTGCTTTGTTAATTAATTCCAAATTAACCTTCCGTGCCACGGGGTGAGATGGAATGGGGGGAAGAGGAGGGGTTTGGAGCTGGATTTCTCCCGCTCGGTGTGGGGCAGCCGTGGGTCTGCCCGTGCCTGACCCAAGGGAGAGAGCAGGAAAAAGAAAGAGAAAGTTGGCAGGAGAGAACCGAGGCGGGGGAGGCGCCGGCAGCGGGAAGAGGAAGTCGAATCGTCCGGCCACGGTGCGGGAGGAGGTTGGTGGCCGCTGTGGGGACCGTGCTGGGCCCTGGGAGGCAGCCCCCACTGCAGCCAGCTCTCCCGTGCTGGGTGGTAGATGCTGATGGTCTGCAGGCTGCAGCACTCCAGGGACCCAGCTGAGCCCAGCCAGGAGCCCTCACCGCTCAGCAGCCTGGTCCCTGCAGGACACGGTCACCCCTGGGACCCGGGCTGGTGGGTGAGCGGGTGGGAGCAGACCCCAGGTGTTTGGGTGCCGAGGGTGAGGGTGTCTGGTGGGTTTGGGTGCTGGGAGAGGTTCCTGACCGCTTGCTGGTGAGTGGGGCCAGGCTGTGAGGGTGCCTCGGTGTGTGTCCAGCCAGGGACCGGCTGATGTTTCCTGCTAAGTCTCTTGTTCCTTGTTTCTTTGTCAGGCTTTGTGAACTCACACCAATGGCCGGCAGGTACATGGCGAGCTAGGACACAGCTGCTCCATGGCACCTCCTCCCCCGGGCATCGCCTTGTAGGAGCTTCCCACCGTTAATTTTCGCTCCGCTCAAGCCCATCGCTGAGGATGCCGACGGCCAACGGCCTGGCGGTGCCGCTGGACAACCTCCAGCAGCAGCTGGAGCTGCGCCTGGTCTGCTCCAAGTGCAGCGTGAAGGAGAACGAGATCACCTACCAGCTGCGAGAGGTGGAGCACAAATGCATGTACGAGATCCTCCTGGCTCGTTTCCGCAGCCGCCGGACCACCGCTTGGAGGAAGGTCTCCAGGCGGCCGGGCTTCCCCACCCCAGCCCGCTACGCCGTCTGTAGGTACTACACGGTGGGGCTGGGCTGCAGCAAGCACAAGAACCAATGCACCTTCGCCTGGAGCCCGGAGGAGGCCACGGTCTGGAACTTCGAGAGGGAGCATCACCTGGAGCGGCGCCGGCTGAAGGCAGCGGTGCTGCAGGCACAGCTGGGGGGTCACCCCGCCGCCCCCCACCACCCCGCGGCCAGCGCCGCCGGCGAGATTGCCAGCGAATTCGGGGGCCACTTCCAGGAGATCTGCAAACGTTGCTTCTTCGGCTGCCCCCAGCGCATCTCGGCAGGCGGGCAAGGGAGGCTCTGCGAGTTCCACCAGAGCTGGGACCCCCTCCTGGTGCACGTGGTGTCGGAGAGCCGGAGGAAGCAGCAGTACACCGCCATCCGGCCCTGCCCCGAGTTCATGTCCACCTTCAGCTACTGCAAGTTCGTCTCCAGGAACCAGCCCTGCAAGCACAGCCCTCAGCGCTGCCGCTACGCGCACAGTGACGTGGAGATGGCCATCTGGGAGGCCGAGAGGGAGCGTGGCTTGGTTCGCTCCGACCTGCTGCCGGCCACCGGCACCTGCGTGGCCAACGGCGAACCGGCGGCGCCCGCACCCGTGCACTTCTACTGCCGGCTCTGCCTGGTGACCTTCAGCTCACAGGAGAGCTTCGAGAGCCACTGCTCCTCCGTGGAGCACGTGCAGATGCTCTCGGCTGACTCCTCTGTCCAGTGGGTCCACCGCGCCCCACCGCTCGGGCTGACCAAGTTCTCGCTGTGTAGCAGGTAAGGAGGAATCCACCCGGTGTGGTGGGGAAGAGGGCAGGGGCAGCGGGCAGCCACCAGCTCCCTGTGGACCCCCGTGCCACCATGGGCCACCTCTCTCCCGACAGAGGGGAGGTGTGTGAAATGGGGAAGAGCTGCACCAAGGCACATTCTGTGGAGGAGCTGCAGGAGTGGATCCAGAGGGTGAAGGTTGCCATGAAGAAGAAGAAGCAAGCGCTGAAGGAAGGGCTCTTGTCCTACCAGGACCGGCTCATCGCCGAGTATCGGACGTGCTCCAACGAGGTGTTGATTGTGAGTTGTGGATGGTGGGGTGGGAGCGTGTTTGTCCACCAGAACCTGGCGCATCACGAGAAGCCTCTTTGTAAGAACTTGGGAACAAAGGCCACCACTCACCTTTCTAACAATGATGCAGAAAGGGATGTTGTAGCCCCTTTCCTTCACCCCTTTCGAGATGGCAACCCAAGAGCCTTCTCAGAGTTCCCAACCACGTGGCTGTGCCGTGGGTCCTTTCGTTTCCCAAGGCTGCTGCGTGGGGACGCTGAGCAGTGGTGGGTGAGGACTGAGCACTAGGATTTACCGATGGTCCCCTCTCGGAAGGGTGCAGTGTAAAGGCAAAGGATGAAGAGGGCCCTGCAGTGTGTCTCTGGGATGTTGCCTTCAGTCCTGTTCCTCTCGTGTCTCCCCTCACAGATGGCTGAGCACGTGGAGGGCGTCAGAGTTGTGTGTGATCAGCCCCTGCAGGTGCAGTCGGAGGACAGGAGGATGAAATACCGGTGGAATTTCAGGGTCCACTCCCAGGTGAGCCCAGCTCTGCTCAGCGAGAGGCTGTGAGCTACTGGCAGTGCCTACTGCTCTGCACAGTCCTGGTCCTTTGGGTTTTTTTAATTTGGTTTTTAATTCTTATTTCTGAAAGGGGCAGAAGGATAGGGATTTTGGAATGTCCAAATGAGGACACATCTTGGGTATTTGGGATGTCTGAGCTGGGGCCATGCATGAAGGGTGCAGCCACCGTGTCTCCTGTCTCATCTTGCGCGGTGGGGCTGGGGGGAACCTGGCTGCCCTCAGGACCTCCCATGTATCATCACAAATAACAAGATTCAGCTGCTTTCCTGCATGAGATTTCATGGGGGTTGGGGGCAAGAGGCTGGGTCTAATTGTCCTCTCCAAAATAAGAGATTTCTTGTTTACAGCAGATTGGCCCCATTGCTATAAAACTGAAACCTGAGGTTCTTTAAGACCTTAAAATAATTGCTGCGGGGTTACATGAGGAATAAGCTCCTTTAAGGAGAATTTCAAGTGCACTGTAGGTCCAGCATGGCATGTGGTTCCTACAGCAGCTTTTAGTAGGAAATGCTGCTGGGAGGACCTCATCAGCTCCTGGACTCTTTCTGTGGGCTTCTCATGGGCTGCCCTCACCACATCCCTGTCTTCTCCTCAACTGGCAGATGCCGCTGCAGCACGTGGCGCTACTGAAGAGGGAACCTGGAGTCAACTTCTACCTCTCGGGGAACGGGATTTCCCAGGGTCTCCAGTACCTTCGGGGGGAGCACGTGGCCACCCTGCGTTCCTCCCCACCCACGGCGCTGGTGGACGTCTGCATGGAGTGCTGCGCCCTGGGCGTCTTCGAGCAGTGGGTGGTGTTCGACTTCGGCAGACGCCCCGTCCTCATACAGAAGATCAAGGTGAAGGTGGGCCGGCGGGAGGCCCCCCAGCACGTCCCCAGCAGCAGGGAGAGCAGCCGCCCCGTCAACTTCACGCGGTGGGATAGAGGCAACCGGATCATCGTTCCCAGCGTGCCGAGGACCGGTGAAGACGTGGATCTGCTGGCCAAGTACAAACCTCCTACTCTGGCACTGGACTACCAAGGCGAGGGAGGTGCAACTGTTCCCATCACCCGTCTCAACTACCGCGAGAGGATGCACGGCTTCCTCTTCCGCGAGGAAGAAGCCGAACAGGCTCTGATTGCCAAGTAAGTGGCAGGCGTGGATCCAGATGGGTTCCTCCTCGCTGTGGGCCCACGGCTTCGTTGCTAACCCTTGGGGCTGTGCTGCTCTTCATGTCTCTGTCCCTTGTGGGTTGGGTTCTGGGGCGCCTGCCCAGAAAAATGGAAACCTGCCAAGAGAGACGGCCTGCTGGGCAGTGATAGGAGGGGAAGGGCTGGGTCTTGTCCTGCGGCTGTGGATTAGCTAGAAGCACAGTTTCTGTCTCTGTGTGCTCAGGGGGCCAGCAGACCCTCTCCGGGTGTAGGTGGCAATCCCCCCCCCTCTGCAGCAGGGAGGGTGGTGGCTGAGGAACTGATGGGTCCCTTCTCTGCTCTTCATTTGGGTGTTTCCTCCTTTCAGACTCAACCTGCGGGTCGTCATCTCGCTGACCCCCATGCTGCAAAGCCTCTCTGTGGGGATGAAGTTTGCCCTCTCTGGTGAGCTGTTTGCTGAAGTGCCTACCCCCTACAACCTCTCGCCGGACACAGACGAGGGGTATCTGCTGAGCAGGTCTGTGCCCACTGCTTTCCTGGCACTTGACCCACCTGTAGACAATCGGGTTTATGAGGTTACTGTGGAGCATAAAGCCATCACGGAGAAGACCATCTGGCTACAGATACCAAAGAGATGCTGCTCAGAGCTGAACTTCACAGCAAACACCTCCCACAAGGTGGAGATCCAATTCCAAATTGACCAGCTGCTGTTCCGACAGTGGCACCAGGCTGTGGACTCCCTGTTGGATGAGAAGCTGGTCCTACCAGACGTTGCCAGTTGCTCCATCCCCTACTCTCTTGGGTCACCACAGAAAGGGAACAGCAAGCAGAAACAAGCCATCTCCTTCATCACGGGCCAGCCAACCACCAGCCGGCAGGTCCCACCTCTTCTCATCTACGGGCCTTTTGGCACGGGGAAGACATTCACCTTGGCCATGGCCACCATAGAGATCCTCAGGCAGCCCAACACACGGGTGCTGATCTGCACTCACACCAACAGGTTAGCAGGGGGTGAGGAAAGAGGGAACCAGGGTTGTGTGCCGGGTCCAAGCAAGCTCATCCATCGCTTGACCGGTGGGATGAGAGGGAGCCAGTGTGTGTGAGACAGAGCTGAGTTGCCCTTTTTTTAGTATGCCTTTCAATTGTTGAAATAAATTCATTTTTATTTAATATGTCTTAAACTGCTCTGGCACTGCCTGATAGGAAGAAGCCAGACATGGGTGGAAATCTTCGTGGAAAAGGCAGCATATTCCTACCTCGTTATAAAATGGGGATGAACTACCTGTTCTTTTAGCCTTTACTGTGTACTGGAAGAAGTAGAAAGCTGTTGCCTGACCTTGTTGGGATAATATTGTGCTCTACTCGCCCTTGAAGGCTATTGTGCTCTGTGCATATGCCAGTTTTTTGACTTTGCCAGGGAGAGTTTGGGAAAGGGGAAATGCAGGTGTGTGGTCTGACTGCCACTGAATCTGCCTTCAGAGAAACCAGGCCAAGATCGTTAAAATTAGAGCAGTTACGCTGAATAGAGTGTCCACATCCGATCCTGCAGGCTGTTACTGCCTTCGTTTTTAATGTATAATAGATGGGTGACTGCTAATCTTAGCCTGTTTCAGGCTGTGTGCTCACACGGAAGCTGTTTCTGCAGATCTCATATTGCCTGCCCGGGCTGGAGATGGTTTGCTCTCAGAGGAAAGGTCTGTGTGACTCAGCCCTGGAGAGCAGCAGGGCCACCGATATTTTTGTTGGGCACGTTGCATTTTTCCGTACCGGCATTGAGAGTTGCCCTGGTCTTGAGTAGCAACTCCTGTTTTAAACCATACTCTCAAAATAGGCTTGGAATTGGTGGCTGCATACACATCAGCTTCTTTGGCGTGTGTGAATATCTCCTGTGATGGGTCCTTCGTTGGCCAAAGCTGGGGGAGAGTTTTGGTGAATGGTCAGATGGTGCGTTGGGATGATGGTCACAGCATCTGGGAACAGTGCCTGCAATTCCTTGATGGTTCCCCCTTCTATTCCCCTCCAGCGCTGCTGACATCTACATCCGGGAGTATTTCCATAACTACGTGACCGACAGGCATCCGTGGGCTGTTCCCTTGAGGATTATATCCACCGACCGTCCCATCAACCTGACAGACCCCACCACTCAGATGTACTGCTGCCTCTCGCCAGACCAGCGCTCCTTCCGCCACCCCACGCGGGCGGAGATCGACAGGCACCGCATCATTATTACCACCTCCATGTTGTCCAAGAACTTGAAGGTTCCCCCAGGCTACTTCACCCACATCATGATTGACGAGGCTGCTCAGATGCTGGAGTGCGAAGCTTTGGTTCCGCTCTCCTACGCCAATTTTCAGACCCGGATTGTCCTCGCTGGGGACCACATGCAGATAACCCCAAAGCTGTTCTCTGTTGGGGAGGGACAATCTGCCGATCACACCCTCTTAAACCGACTCTTTCAGTTTTACCAGAAAGAGAGGCACGAAGTGGCCACGAGGAGCAGGATCATCTTCAATGAGAATTATCGTTCCACTGCGGGCATAATTGAGTTTGTCTCCAAGCACTTCTACATTGGCAAAGGCAACGCTATCCAAGCCAGTGGGAACATCCCACCCCATCCCGAAATCTACCCGCTGATGTTCTGCCACGTGTCCGGCGTGGCTGAAAGGGATATGGCCATGATTTCTTGGCACAATGCCTCCGAGATAGTACAAGTGATTGAGAAAGTGAAGGAGATATATCGGAGGTGGCCAGATGAGTGGGGTACCCGAGATCTGAAGAGAATCTGTGTGGTCTCCCATGGGATGCAGGTATGTAGAAGAACCCTGTGTTCCTCACCTGAAGGGGCTGTGCATGCCCTGCTGACCACTGTCTAAACACTGCCTAATACATGCTGGACTCTATTGATGAGAAACCTGTCTCTTGGGTTAGTAAAAATAAGGAATCTGGGGTCTTGCATGCCACCAGTGGTTTTTTGAGGCACCCTCCATTTGGGTAGTACGTCATGGGTGGTTGGAGCAGCAATGCCTCATGGTGGGATGGTTTAGTTGAAGGTTTCTTTTGGCATCCTCTAGGCAGGTTAACTCGGGGCAGACTGGGAGCACTGGCTGAAGTCAGCCCAGGACACATGGCTGCTATTGAGTAACTTTCTTGGGGAACCTGCAGCTGAGAAGGGTGGGGGGTGTTTCTGAGCTGAATCTTAGAATCGTTTTGGTTGGAAGGGATGTTTAAGATCATCAAATCTAACCGTTAACCCAACACTGCCAAGTTACCACTAAACCATGTCCCTCATCACCACATCTACACGTCTTTTAAAATACCTCCAGGGATGGTGACTCAACCACTTCCTCAGTTGTGCCTCTCTCTTTCTTACCAGGTTTCTGCAACAAGACAAGAGCTGAGGAAAAAGCAGCTACAAGATGTGGTGGTAGAAAACTATGAAAACTTGCCAGGTTTGTGTTTTGTGTAACAGCAGGTCATTCCTAGCTGTTTTGAGGTCTTCTGTGTGCTAGGGGAGAACTTTGACGGTCACGTTGGTGGACAGGAGAGTCTATAGCAGCTACAGCCACTGTGCAATGGGCAGAGGGAAGCATTAGTAAAGGTCCTTCCAGCATCTTAGCATTGTCCTCCTTGCTAAAATGCAAAATACTGGCTGATCTTGTGGCAAACTGCCTCTCTGGGAGGGTGGGTGTGATGCTGTCAGGCATCTTCTGCCCTTCCCCATGGCTCTGCTGCTGCCGCAGCGAGTGGCCACAGCCCACCCAGCGCTGATGAGGAGGGAGTGCCTGGAAATCCTTTGGCTGATTTCCATCCCCTTCTGGTGGGTAACTCTTCGATTTTTTTTGTCCTTTCCTTAGCAAATAAGATTTCACACTGAATTAAATCTGCACCCAACTGTCAGCTCGTTTCAAATGTACAGACGTTGCTTTGTAGGAGGGTGAAAAACCCTGTAAGTGAGATCCTGGGGACTTGAGCGTGTGTGAATCATGTGAGAGCCCCAAATACCAGTGGGGGAGGCTAGTAATAGAAGGGAATTGAAACCAGGATGGCCTGTGGGTACCAGTCACAGCAAAAAAAAATCACAGAACAGCTCGCTAGAGGAGGAGTCTGCTGCTCTGGATGACGAGAGAGGGACAGGGCTGGTTTTATCCTCAAGGACTTGGTTTATGACTCATCCATGTTTTTATTATTATTATTTTTTTTTATTGTGCAGCTGGGACCTCCTCATGGTGAGAATAACTGACCCCTGGGGTGTGTTTCTGATCTCCACACCCTTTCTTTGCAGTTTCTTCCCAGCTCTGAAACCACCAGGGTGCCTCTGGCTGTTTGTTATTTGTCGTGTGATCAGCAGAGCTGTCCTTGAGGGGAGAGGGATTCTGGTGAACGGTCACTGCTGTTGTTCCTGTGACACCCCCCAGTTCCACAAGGAATTTAGGCTTCACAGAAAACTGTCCATGTTTGTGAGGAGTGGCTGGTGGGGGCTGTTGGTGGCACAGACACGCAGGGCTGCTCCACGGGCACTCGTGGCCACGCTGGTCCCGTGCCCGGCCTTTCTCCTGTCTCCACGCTCCCTGGTGGTGGCCTCGTGGTGTCTGTCCACCCTGTTTCATGCCTAGATACCCTTGTGATCCCCAAAAGCTGCTTTATTCGCATCAGGCGACTCCTCCACCAGTGGTTTTTTGAGGCACCCTCCATTTGGGTAGTACGTCATGGGTGGTTGGAGCAGCAATGCCTCATGGTGGGATGGTTTAGTTGAAGGTTTCTTTTGGCATCCTCTAGGCAGGTTAACTCGGGGCAGACTGGGAGCACTGGCTGAAGTCAGCCCAGGACACATGGCTGCTATTGAGTAACTTTCTTGGGGAACCTGCAGCTGAGAAGGGTGGGGGGTTTCTGAGCTGAATCTTAGAATCGTTTTGGTTGGAAGGGATGTTTAAGATCATCAAATCTAACCGTTAACCCAACACTGCCAAGTTACCACTAAACCATGTCCCTCATCACCACATCTACACGTCTTTTAAAATACCTCCAGGGATGGTGACTCAACCACTTCCTCAGTTGTGCCTCTCTCTTTCTTACCAGGTTTCTGCAACAAGACAAGAGCTGAGGAAAAAGCAGCTACAAGATGTGGTGGTAGAAAACTATGAAAACTTGCCAGGTTTGTGTTTTGTGTAACAGCAGGTCATTCCTAGCTGTTTTGAGGTCTTCTGTGTGCTAGGGGAGAACTTTGACGGTCACGTTGGTGGACAGGAGAGTCTATAGCAGCTACAGCCACTGTGCAATGGGCAGAGGGAAGCATTAGTAAAGGTCCTTCCAGCATCTTAGCATTGTCCTCCTTGCTAAAATGCAAAATACTGGCTGATCTTGTGGCAAACTGCCTCTCTGGGAGGGTGGGTGTGATGCTGTCAGGCATCTTCTGCCCTTCCCCATGGCTCTGCTGCTGCCGCAGCGAGTGGCCACAGCCCACCCAGCGCTGATGAGGAGGGAGTGCCTGGAAATCCTTTGGCTGATTTCCATCCCCTTCTGGTGGGTAACTCTTCGATTTTTTTTGTCCTTTCCTTAGCGAATAAGATTTCACACTGAATTAAATCTGCACCCAACTGTCAGCTCGTTTCAAATGTACAGACGTTGCTTTGTAGGAGGGTGAAAAACCCTGTAAGTGAGATCCTGGGGACTTGAGCGTGTGTGAATCATGTGAGAGCCCCAAATACCAGTGGGGGAGGCTAGTAATAGAAGGGAATTGAAACCAGGATGGCCTGTGGGTACCAGTCACAGCAAAAAAAAATCACAGAACAGCTCGCTAGAGGAGGAGTCTGCTGCTCTGGATGACGAGAGAGGGACAGGGCTGGTTTTATCCTCAAGGACTTGGTTTATGACTCATCCATGTTTTTATTATTATTATTTTTTTTTATTGTGCAGCTGGGACCTCCTCATGGTGAGAATAACTGACCCCTGGGGTGTGTTTCTGATCTCCACACCCTTTCTTTGCAGTTTCTTCCCAGCTCTGAAACCACCAGGGTGCCTCTGGCTGTTTGTTATTTGTCGTGTGATCAGCAGAGCTGTCCTTGAGGGGAGAGGGATTCTGGTGAACGGTCACTGCTGTTGTTCCTGTGACACCCCCCAGTTCCACAAGGAATTTAGGCTTCACAGAAAACTGTCCATGTTTGTGAGGAGTGGCTGGTGGGGGCTGTTGGTGGCACAGACACGCAGGGCTGCTCCACGGGCACTCGTGGCCACACTGGTCTGGTGCCCGGCCTTTCTCCTGTCTCCACGCTCCCTGGTGGTGGCCTCGTGGTGTCTGTCCACCCTGTTTCATGCCTAGATACCCTTGTGATCCCCAAAAGCTGCTTTATTCGCATCAGGCGACTCCTGAGACTCAGTCAAGCCAAGGTTCCATCAGCCCATGGCCACGTAACACAGGCAGAGCACCGGGTGGCAGCCAGACAGGGTCTTCCCCGTTGGGTTCCCTTGAGTGACTTCTCCCTTCTCCTCTCCGGTGCAGGGCGGGAGTTCCGGGTCATCATCATCAGCACCGTCCACACCAGTGAGAGCCTGCGCGTTTCGGCCTCCCACCACCTCGAGTTCTTCAATGAAGCCAGAGTGCTCAACACCATCATGACCCGGGCTCAGTCGCTGGTGATTGCGGTGGGGGATGCGGTGGCCTTGTGCTCCCACGGCCAGTGCAGCAAGGTATGGAAGCGCTTCATCCAGCAGTGCATCGAGAAGGGGAGCATCTTCCCAGAGAACCTGACCATGGCCCAGATCAAACAAGCTGCGTGCGACAAGGAGAGCTGGAGCAGGAGGAGCCCAGAGAGGGACGAGGAGGACAGCGACACAGATTCCTGGAGCTCCGAGGATGAGAACATAAATCCTGATGATCCCATCCTCCAGGAGCTCTTAGATGAGAGCAAGAACGTGCTGGTGACAGTGTCCGAAGAAGGGCTGCTGAATGTAAAGACTGAGGCTTCAAACCTGCAGAAAGACAGGCAGGAATATGTCAGCTTCTCCTCTCGGATGATGCAGGAGTATCTGCGCATGCACCCCAAAATGTACAAGAGGTGTGAGCTGATCAAGGAAGGGTTTGACAGAGCTTCTGCCTTCACCCTCAACGACTCCCCTGCCGTGACCATTCAGATCAAAGGCAGAGTTCACTGCGGGACGGCCTTCACCGGGGACGAGGTGCTCGTGGAGATCCTGCAGAACAGCATGGCTGACAGCAGCAGCCACCGCCCCCAGGGGAAGGTGGTGGGCATCTTAAAGCGTGCCGAGAGAGAACGGACCTTCATCTGCATGATGGATGAATTTGATCCCCGGGTGATGATACCCATCGACCGCACGGTCACCAAAATATTTGTCCCAGGGCTGAAAGAGAAACCCAACGTCATTCCCATCCGCAAGCTTGTCAATGGGAAGTACAAAGTGGTCAGCTGTGAGAAGATCAGCCAGGAGACAAGAAGATGTCAGCTCTTCTGCGTCCAGGTTATCTCCTGGCGGGAAGGGTTTTACTACCCTTTGGGGATAATTACGGAGATTCTGCATGCGGCATTGACTTTGGAAGAAGGCTTAAAGATCCTTGCCTTGGAGTATGGTTTGGAGAAGAAATACCCAGCTGCTGTCACCAAGGAATCAGCCAAATACACTTCCAGCAGCAAACTAAACCCCACCAAGGAAAATCTGAAGGACTGTCGGAGTTACATGACCTTCACTGTCGACCCCCAAGGTGCCAGGGATTTGGACGACGCTATCAGCGTTAGGGATCTTGGGCATCACTATGAGATTGGGATCCACATTGCAGACGTGGCTGGCATCATTCCCAAAGGCAGTGCCTTGGACCTGGAAGCAAAGAAGCGGGGTGTCACCTACTACCCTCCCAACCAGGAGCCTCTGTGCATGTTCCCACCCCACATTAGCCAAGATGTCTGCAGCCTCCTGCCACAGAAAGATCGTCGGGTGATCTCTTTGTTTGTCACCGTGGAGAAGAAGACTGATGTGATGTTGAAGGAAGTCTTCACCATCTCTGTGATCCGCTCGGACAGGCAGCTGTCCTATGAAGAGGCAGAGCTCTGCATAAAGGACCACTACAGGGGAGCAGCAGGGGCCCTTCGTTTCGATACCGTGGAGGACTGCATAGCTGTGGCTTATCACTTCTCCAGGGTCCATCGGAAGTTTCGGCTGCAGGAGGACTGTTTCTATGACCGGATGGACGAGGAAAGCACCCCGGGCAAAAGGGGGTCGCATCAGATGATAGAAGAGTTAATGATCATGTTCAACAGTTTTGTGGCAGAGTTCCTCACCAACCAGGAGGGCACCCGAAATGTCACTCCTCTCCGGTGTCAGTGCGAGCCAAGCCCTCAGCAGTTGACGAGCATGAAAAACAAATACAGCCACATGCTTCCTTTGTCCATCCATCTCTCGCACCACCTGGGAGAGGTGCCTCCTGGCCAAGACTCCTCCAACAACGTGGTGTTCAGTCTCCTGGCCCCCATCTGGGAGCACCTGCAGTCAGCTGCTAATGCCCGTGACTTCCACAAGATGCTAGACCTTATTGTTACTGATGACATCCACCCGAAGCTGGCTCCTGTGGCCCTGGAGTTCAGGAGACTGCTCAGCCGCTCCTATTTCAGTCGCTCCAACTCCACTGTCCAGTCGAAAGCCGGCCATTACTCCCTGCACGTTGACTCGTACACCTGGGCTTCCTCTCCCATCCGCCGGTACATGGATGTCGTGGTCCAGCGGCACCTTCATTCTGTGCTCCGCAAGAAGCCCATCATCTATTCTTCAGAAGACATTGAGTTTCTCTGTCATGACTTCAACAAGAAAAATTCCCAGGGGGTGACGTACGAGAAGAAAGCCCGCTCCCTGCAGATGGCCACCCAGCTGAAGAGCCAGGTCCTGCAGAAGATGGCCTTTGTAGTGGATATTGAAGCGATGAAAAAGTATTTTAAAGTCCTGTTTCCACTGAACGAAGAGAGTCTTCCAGATCCCCAGATAATTAACTACAGGTCTCTTCAGCTGACAGAGCAGCCCATCTTCATCCAGGAGCGGAGCACCATCAAGCTGACGTGGAAGAGGAGGGTGTACTCTGTGGAGAAGAAGAAGGAGCACAACCTGCGGGAAGGCCCTCTCCGCGACCTCAGCGTCACCTTCTTTGGCACCCAGACTTGGCAAGAGGTGCTAGCAGCCATCAGGAGGGAGGAGTTTGAGACCGCGGCCTCCCTCCTTCAGAAGAGCAAGGACCTGTACCAGAGGCACTTGGGCTGGGTAAGGAAGAGCCCGTGCTTGCACTACGTGGAGATCTTCCTGGAGCTGAGTGCCGGCGACGCGCTGCAGTTCCAGCTCACCACCGACGTCTGCCGGGGTTTTCTGGTGCCCTTCATGCAGCTCTGGTGCGTGACGCCGGGTTTTGACATCTGCCTGCAGCACGTGGAAAAGCCCATTGATTGCTTCTCCTCCTACGCCACCCTGCAGTCCAAAGACAAGTACAAGCACGCGGCGGAGTACAGCAAGGTGTGGATGCCCATGTGTGCCATGGAGTCTGCTTCGTGTGCGGTGGCCGAAAACGACTCGATTGTCCTCCATGACGTCAAAATAACCTGGGCAAAGCAAAGGACGAGCAAAGGACAGCTGCAAGGGAGTTTCGTCGTAAACAAACAGGTTTTGGAGGAGTGCTCCATTGAAGTGGACTTCAACAACTGTTACTTGTGCATTCGCTTAGGTGGGCTGAAGCTTGAGAGCTTTCAAAGTGATGAGGATTGCCTTAGCCACGGCCTCCAGAATCTGACTTTTATTAACAAGGACAGGTCAGAAAGCAAACTTATGGTTGATCCGGATACCTATACCTGGGTGGCTCACGGGATCACTGAAGATTTCAGTGACAGTGAGAAGTCAGACAGGACTGGTCATCACACTATGAACTTTTACATCCACTATATGTCTATGGAGAACATCCCCGTGGAAATCTCATACTCCTCTGCCAGGTTCACGGTGGAGATCATACCAAAGATGCTGCCAGACATGTAAGTGATCAATGCTTATAAATACTTAAAGGGAGGGTATCAAGAGGATGAGGCCGGTCTTTTTTCAGTGTTGCCCAGGGATAGGACAAGAGGAAATGGGCACAAACTTGAATATATGAAGTTCCACCTAAACATGAGGAGGAACTTCTTCACTTTGAGGGTGGCAGAGCCCTGGAACAGGCTGCCCAGAGAGGTGGTGGAGTCTTCTTCTCTGGAGACATTCAAAACCCACCTGGACAAGTGCTTCTGCAACCTGCTCTGGGTGGACCTGCTGTGGCAGTGGGGTTGGAGGAGATGATCTCCGCAGGTCCCTTCCAACCCCATGTCATTCTGTGATTCTGTGAGGTGCTTAGCGGTCGTGCTCAGGTTAGCATGTCCATGTAGAGCAATGGCTTCCCATGGGACTCCTTTGCTGCACCCAAACGGGCTTTGCTTGCTGGTGCATCCCCTGAAAAATCTGTCTTTGCCCAGCTCTGCCTGGCCATGCTGTTGGGCTGTTGATGTTTGGTGGGGGTGGCAGCGTTTCTCAGGTGGCCTCTTGCTCTTCTGGTTGACCTCGAGAATGGGGAAATGGGGAAAGGTGCTGGTGCTGAAATTTCCCCGGGCATCTGTTTCTTATGTTGTGGGATTGCTGCAATATGTGTCATAAAAGGCAGCGTGAAGCACTGGATCAGGGTCTGCTCAGCAGAAGTGCTCCCTGATTTCCCAATCATTCCCCTTTGTTCTTGCTGTGAAGCAAGATCTGCTCTTATTAATGCAGAGCTGATGTCTAGTTTGCCCCTCTTTGTACACAGCACGGGCTGCTACGCACCCATGACTGCTGTGGCTTTTTCAGGGCAGAATGTTCTTCCTTCTGTATCGTTAATTTTAGGGGGAAAAAAAAAATAAATAATTGGAAGCTAATCCAATAAAATGGGGTGGGCCATAATAAAATGGAGTTGGGACAGAAGCTGTGCTTCTCAATCTCAACATCTTTGCAGGCTCGGCTCTTCAGACAGTTGGGAAATAGTCCCAGATGCAAAAGAGCAAAATAAGAGTTGTTTTGGTTTAAGTTCTTTGTGGATTTAATGCAAACGCGAAAGCAGGGAGAAAGAATAAACAAGGCAGTTGTACAAAGCTGTATTACAATTTTTTGCTATTTTAAGCTACATTCCATTCATTCTTATTTTTCCCTCTGTCAGACGGAAAGAAAAGGCAATTTGGAAGCTCAAGTATGCCTCCGAGCTCGTGAAAAGCATTGCCCTGGGCCATGAACCTCCTAAAAAAGGTAGGTGCAAATATCCACCTTTCTTACCTTGTGGCTACTTGCTTCTGGCCGGGCAGGTGCCCTGGCAGCTTCTGTGGGCCCTTGCCATAGGGGTTCTGCTCCCAGACCAGGAGGTTCCCCTGCCAAGGGGAGGAGAGGAGCTGCTGGCCTGGCAGAGTGAAGGTAATACGGGATGCCCTGCTGGAGAGTGGCACGAGTGGGTGATGTTTTAATCCCCAGGACCCACAGAAGAAGGCTCATGGGCAGAACATCTTGGCACGGGACAAGGATTACTTTTAGGTGGTCTTGTAAATGGGCCATGATTTCTTGGGACCTACCGCACCCTCTTGTTGAATCCCTTCTGTGTTGCCTTCAGTGACCTTCTTTAAACTTGTTTTCTTGACTCTTTGCCATTAACAGTGACAACGTCCAAAATCCTGCAGCAAAAATCCTTTGATCTCCCCGGCAGCCACAGGAGGCTTAACCAGAGTCAGAACGAAGCTATCCTAATGGCTCTGAGAAAACCCTTCACGCTCATCCAAGGTCCACCAGGTAAGGCTGGGGGGACGGCACAAGTACACGCCTACTTTGTTATGAAAGGCAGGTTAGAGCTAATCTGCTGCTTTCCAGAGGACCCTTGGTGAGACAGGAGAGGGTAGCGTGGGTTGGCATCACCCATGGCTGTTCAAGGCAGTCCCCTCAGTTTTTTATTTTTCTTTCATGGGTGCTGGTCTAGAGCATGAGTGTCATGGTTCAAGTGTTCTCAGCAACCTCCTTGTTTTTCTAGGCACAGGGAAAACCGTTGTTGGAACTCACATTGTCTACTGGTTCCATGAGCTGAATGAGAGGAATGTCGAGAAGGAGCAAACACCATCCTCTGAAGAAAAGGTCAAGGGGAGAAAGTGTATCTTGTACTGTGGCCCATCCAACAAGTCTGTTGATGTTGTTGCTGGTAACTATCAGTTTTAAGGCCCTGAAGTGGTTCATGCTGGAGGGAGGGAGGCCATGTGGCCGTGAGCAGGAGGGGCAGAAAGTGGGGCTGGTCCTTAGAGAAGATCCCTCACTGCAGGGCGAGGACTGGTGAAAGTGGGGTTCATGAGCAAGTGGTGGGGAGAAGAGGCAAGTTACGGCAAACTCTGGGCACCTCACAGACCATGATCTTTCTCAGCGTTGCTGGTGCCTGGTGCTGCCTGAGCTGACCTGTTCTCCTTCCCCAGAGATGCTGATGAAGATGAAGAACCTGAAACCACTGAGGGTTTATGGGGAGGCCATTGAAACCATGGAATTCCCATACCCGGGGAGCAACCGGCACCTCTACCGCAAAGCCCTGCGGGATTCCAAACCGAAGCATGAGCTCAGGTAGGACTGCATGGTCCCACAGGCTCCAAGAGCACTGGGGGGAGATGTTTTCTGCACCAGTAAAGCTGAACAAGCCAGAGTAAATGCAGTTTCCACTCTGCTACTGTGGAGCAGCAGCACTTTTAGCCTGCTTTGGACTTAATTTTTTCAAGTGAAGGTGTGTAGTCTAAGGTAGCATCCAGTCAGGAAACCCAGGTTGCTGAAAACACCCTAGATGTTTTCATCTCTCTCTTGTCTCCAGCTTCATTCCTGCTTGTGACTGCTAAAGAAAGGTGGTTGTATTTTGTGTCCTTGAGGGTGAGCTAAGCATTAGGTCTGTAAAGGTGGAAGAGTCTGGCTGTGATGACTTTAGCTAATGGAGTTTCTCCACGTAGACAGATGTTACGGGCTTCACCATGCGAGAGATCACTTGGGTCTGTGTGTGGGAAAATATTTACATATTGACTCTTTATTCAGCGAAATAATCCTTCATCATCGCATCCGGAGGCCGCCCAACCCTCTATGGCAGGAGATCTGTAACTTTGACGCTCGGGTGAGGAGAGGAGACCAGATAACAGAAGAAGAAACAAAGAAGTGAGTAGAAAGAGACCCTGGTGAGAGATGGCTGACTTTGGCCACGTGCCACCTCTGATGTGCTGCCCGAAGGAGCGTGGTGCAGCAATCTCCTTCCCCTGTGAGAAGAGATCTGGGCTATGCTTGTTAGGTCTCAAGTGGCACAAACTCATAGACTGCATGACAGCCAGTGGACTTGTCCTGTCTCCTGCAAGGCAAGGGACTAGGCATAAAAAATCAAAATGGATGAATAAACTGTGTTTGGAATGATGATCAAAAGCAATTAGCTCAGGGTTAGCGGTACAGTGCAGAGCATCAGCGTCACTTCTGCTCTGCTGCTGTTGTCCTTCTGGACCAAAAAGTCATATTATGTGTGTGTGACACTTTCATCCTCCACCCTGAGCCCCTGCCCTGCTGAGGTCAGGACACAGTGCATTTCCTACAGTGTCCATATCAAGCCCTTTTCTGGGAACACCAGCTCATCCTGGGGAGGGAGATGGAGCCATAATCATTTGGGAAAGTGTAGCCTCTACTTGGTTCCTGTGTGAGGAACCTGGAGATGTTTCCGTTATCCATAACCTGATGTCTTCTGCATCGACCACCAGGTACAAAGGTCAGCTGGCGGATGCTCGTGCGTATGAATTGGAAATCCACGATGTCATCCTGTGCACGTGCTCCGCCGCATCTGCCACCTCCCTGGAGCAGCTCAATGTTAGGCAGGTCATCATCGACGAGTGTGCCATGTCCACAGAGCCCGAGACCCTCATCCCCTTGGTCAGCCACCGCCGTGCTGAGAAGGTAAGTCCCTTCCAAAGACATGTCTCTAGGAGGCCTGCTCAGGGCTCTCTGTATGTCTTTCACCCCTTTACCATGCTGCTCTTCCAAGTTTTACCAGGTTTTAAGGTTGTTCTTGGTACCATCTATGATAGTGTATCAATGTTTCAGCCTTCAGGGGGTTGTTTCCTTTGAGGTATAACTCTACAAACTGTCATTAAAATCTCAAGGCATAGAGACGTATGTGCAGTACATAAGTATTCTCACGAGATGCGTGAGCTGTGCGTTATTTGTTTGTATCACATAAAGCTGACCCAGGTAAAAAGTATTAACGTGACAAGAAGCACAGAGCAGATCTCAGTAGACTTACTACATGGGGAGTCCTATCAGAAGAGAATGAGACTTCTCGCGTTATCTGGGTCAGGATCTTTATGTAAGGCCCAACACGGTCCTTGGTTGAGGTTGCTGTAACCATAACAGAAATAAGGAGCACCAAATGTCTGTGTGCAAATAGACTTTCAAAGAGCTGAATGCCTTCACCAGTGCCACCACCCTCATAGTTGAGGTGTCCACTCTTGGTTCCAGGTTGTTTTGCTTGGGGATCACAAACAGCTGCGGCCTGTGGTCAACAATGACTTCTGCAAGAGTCTTGGCATGGAGACGTCTCTCTTTGAGCGCTACCGGAACCAGGCGTGGATGCTGGATACGCAGTACCGCATGGTGAGGCCCTCAAGTGGATTGTCTTTTCTCTGTCACAGAGATTGCTGCCGTCAGGGCTTGCCTCAAGCCACAGCGAAGGAGATATTCTCCATGAGTGCTTTCCCTTCCTAGAGTAATGAATGATGCCCTCGCCCGGTGCCAGCTGTAGCACAGTGGCATCGCAGGTGAAGCCTGCCCAAAAAAGGCGCTGCAGGTTGAGAAGTTCCTTGGTTTTTGTTCACCTCAGTTCCTCCCCTTTTCTCTACCAGCACAAAGAGATTTGCGAGTTCCCATCCCAGGAATTTTATAACGCGCGGCTGAAAACGTGGGCCCCGTTTCATAAACCCAGCGTCTTCTACCACAAGGATAACGGCTGCTGCCCTGTCATCTTTGGGCACGTGGAGGGGAAGGAGCAGAGCCTCATGATTTCCACCGAGGAAGGAAATGAGAACTCCAAAGCCAACCTAGAAGAAGCGGAGCAGGCGGTGAGGAAGGGTCCTGGGGAATTGCTGGAGATGTCAAAGGGGAGGGTGTTGTGCTGGGTGGCTTTAGGGATCGTGGAGGGGATGATGAGTTGTGATACAAGACAAAGATCTGTGGGGTGCAGTGTCTGCCTGGGGTCTTCTCGGGTGTGGGGCACCCCACGATGTCCTTGGCCAGAGGGTGCTGCAGGGCTGGTTCCCTCTGGCCACCACTCCCAAGTGAGCAGGACCCTGGTCTCCCCAGGTGAGGATGGCGAAGCAGCTGACACTAGATGGCACCATCCGGCCGGAGAGCATCGCCATCCTGAGCCCCTACAACGCCCAGGTCTCTGAGATCAACAAGCGCCTCCTGAAGGAGGGCATCCGTGGAGTCACCGTCTGCACCATCATGAAGAGTCAAGGTGGGGCTGGCAGGAGATGGCGGGGGGTGTTGGTTCTGTCCTCTTCTGTCTTCCCGAGAACCGAAACCAGCTTATCACAGAGACAGTCTTTGAGCAAATCCGACACTGGGGTCATTTCAGCCATGGAGGAAGCATCCCTGGGCCAGATTTCTGGGTGATTTGTCATTGGAACAAATCCTTTGGAAACCTCTGGAGTGCCCAGGCACCGTGAGACTGATGAAGACAGGAAGATGGAGGACATCTGAAGGGGATGTTAAAGAACTGCCATGCTCTTTGGAGCACATACTCTTTGGAGAGCAATGACCAGAGGTCATATGGCCTCCAAAGCTAGAGAAACCCAAATGGTGGCTGCAGTTTTGTGGGTCTTGCTGTGGAGAAATGAGTGTCTTGTGGGGTGGAGAGGAGGCTGGGTGCTTCCTTCTAAAAAGGTCTGTTTCAATTCTGCTTTCTAGGAAGTGAGTGGAGATACGTGATCCTGTCGACTGTACGCTCCTGCCCTCGATCGGAGATTGACAAGAAGCCCACAAAGAGCTGGCAGAAGAAGTTCCTGGGGTTTGTTACCGACCCAAACCAGGTCAATGTCGGCATCACGCGAGCTCAGGAAGGACTCTGCATTGTAGGTGGGTCTCCTGGGAGCATGCACAGCCCTGCAAGGGACCAGGATGCTTGGATAAAGGGGTGGGGATCCAAACTAGTAAAACCAATGGCTTTATTCTTCATAGAATGGTTTGGGTTGGAAGGGACCTTAAAGATCACCCAGTTCCAACCCCCTGCCCTGGGCAGGGACACCTTCGACCAGACCAGGCTGCTCAAAGCTCCATCCAGCCTGGCCTTGAACCCCTCCAGGGCTGGGGCAGCCACAGCTTCTCTGGGCGAATTCTTCTGCCCTTAGGCTGTCTGTGGTTTTGGAACTGGGCAATCTGCACAAAGCAGAGATCCTGCGTGGCTCGTTTCCAGCATGTATAATTAGTTTTTCTCACCCTCTGGTCCGGACCACGTTGTTTCCATCACTTGCATGATGGAGCTCTCTCCTAGCAGAATGTGGCTGCTTGTTTTCCTCCGAGTCAGGCTGTGATGTGTCAGGAAGCTGCTCGCAGACATGACAGCGCTGTAAAGGGAGCTGGGATTTCACAGAAGCTCTGCCTGAAGTTATCCAGCACCCTTAGGCTAGAAATTTTAAGGAGAAGTTTCCATGACCGGTCTGTGATGGTATCATCTGAGCCTCTTCTGGTCACTAACCCACTGTCCCCATCCCCGTGCCAACAGGGAACAGGTACCTGCTGGAGTGCAACCCTTTGTGGAGGAGACTTCTTCAGCATTACAGACAGCGCAACTGCTACGCTGCAGCCCAGGGGATTTTTATCAGGAGGACTTCAGCCGTCCACCGATGAGGATGGGTTGTACCTCGTTGAGCTCCTCCACTCTCTACCTGAACTGCGTTACGTGTGCCTTGGGGAGGACACAATCTTTCCATTATTTAATGACCCACGGAGCCAGCATCTTCCCCTGCACAGTGACAGCTCAGCTTCAGTGTGTGCTTTGGCATCGTGGGGTTTTTTTTTTAAAATCAGTGTGACCTCAGACAGGAACTTTCAACTCTAGCAAACCAAAAATCATTGGAAAGGGATGGATGGGTGTGTAACTTAATTGATGACGCTATTTTTTTAACTGTAAGATGCTCAGCAGAGCCCCTGTCCTATCTGCCAGTCCAGCTCTGCTTTGGGGACCAAAGACTCAGTCCGCTCATCGAGGGTGGAGCAACAGAGCCCTACGGCAAGCCCTGATTTGCCACAGAGGACCAAAGCTTCTGAGCACTACCACTCGTTTTAAAACCAAGGCCAGGGAATTTTTAAAGCTTCTCATTCCTCGAAGCAGAAAACCAATTTTTGTTATTGTTGTTTTGTTTTTTTTAAAATGAAGGACGAAGGCAAAGGGAGAACCATGGACCACTCTTTGCTAGCCAAATCGCTGTTCTCCATGTAAATATCACAGAGCCAAGGCCAAGTTGATTTTGTAAATAGATTCATTTATTCTTTGTACAAAGGGGATTGTCCTCAGCAGTATAAGGTTAATGAAAAGCGAGGACCACTCCTACCAGGAAACGTTGGAAATTGTAAGCATATTTTAAACTGTTGTGAGTTTTATTTGAAATCTCCTCTTGTAAGAGCCTCCCTTTCCTACCCCGTATTTTTTTAAAGCTGCTTCTAATTTATTAACTTTTTAACTCTGTGAATTTTTCACAGTCTTATGGCCTGAGTTTTTAAGAGCGGTGATGGAAATTTGATAAACGTGCCACAGCATATATGTGTATAATGTAGTTATTTTTTTGTTTGTTTTTAAGTAGCCAAACTGCTGTGAACTGGAAGCTGTGATTCACTGGAGAAGGCTGCTTTTGCCCAGTAATGTATGGCTGACGCAGATGTATAGCGGGGAAGCGGTGCTCTCTGCTGAATCACGGAGCTGCTTTTTGTAGCGATGGTAGTTTTGAGGGAGGGTGTCTTTTTTATCTCATTTCAATTCTGAATGTATGAAGTGCCTGCCTCAGCTCTCCCCAGGACCACACGCTCGGCCGTCTCTAAATGTTCACATGGGATGGAGCCAGGATGCAATCACGGTGGTTTTGCAACAAGTCTCTGCTGTGCTGGGACACGAGTCCTCCTTGGCGTAAGCGAGGGGTCCTCGTGACTTCAGGGCGCTGTGGCAGGGATGGATTGTGTCCTGTGTTTGCAACTGAAAATGCAGCACGGCTCCTTCCAGTGTGGAGGAATGTGCAATAAGAAAGCATTGTGTCTGGAAAAGTCTTTATTTAGCGCTGTATTTCTTCTCATAACTGTGTTAGTCTTAAGAACCTATGGAGAAATTTTGTTCTTCTCTTCCTATCTTCCTAGATGTTTTAAAGTATCTTCCTGCACTGGGTTTGATCTGTATGTTAGAGACCACCCTGGCTTGCTCTGGTCTTACTGAATTGTAATAACAGGCATATGGCTGGTGATTCCATAAGGGACAAAAGCTTGTAGGAAGTACCTCCTGCTGGTTCTAAAGATGCTTGATAGAAGCTGGTAGGATGTAAAGTTCATTGTTCTTCTCTGAAGACATCCTGGCTGGAATCTTAAAAGATTTTGCAGATATTATTGCAATTCCAATATAAGCTTATATAGGAAGCATTTTGTGGACTACTGAAATGCAATGATGTCTCCAAGACGATGCAGAGAATTGCAAAAGATGCTGGAATTGTTGGGATAAATACTTCAGCATGGTGCCAGCATCATTCTTGGTCCCTTTAGAACCAGTGGGTCTCATTTTCATGATCTAATGTAAGTGAAGAGTCTCTTCCCTGGGTTTTGGGGGGTTTTTTTGGTTTTTTTTTTTTTGCTGGTTATTTCATTCCATGTAACACAAATGAGGAGACTCACCCCAAGTATAGTGGCTTAGTCCAATGCTCCTGTATGGGGTTCGGCCATGTGTTTGCATAGACTAAGAAAGATGCCTCACAAAGTGTCTCCCTTTTCCCTCAGCGGGGAAAAAAAGTGTTTACTGCTACTCCATGGAGGGTAAAGCCTGGGCTGAAATGCTATCCTTGGTCACCTCTGTGTTGCAAGACAATATAAATTATTATTATTTTTTTTTTAATCTCTGAAGATGTGTTTTGTAACTGGTGTTTAGAAAGTGCTGCCCTGGAGCACCCCAGCAGCAGTAACAGCCAGACTGGACTCTGGGGCTGTGTGTGGTACCTGTTGAGTTGGTCATGCGGCTGCAATAGTCAGGGAAAGCAGAAAGTGCAATTAATGAAACCTTTTTATAGACTGTTAGTGCCAGCTGAATATCGTGTTCTTGTCCTTGTGCTCATGTATAGAGAGAATCATAGAAATTAATAGAGAGAAAAAGTTCAAAGCTGTCTAGTTTTGTTTACACACAGAGCTTTGAATTTACTTTTGAAAGAATTTTGTGTTCAAACGCATATTCTTAAAATACTTATAAAAAAACCAAAATCACCAAACCTTTGTAGGAAGGTAGTAGGTAAGAAAGTAGGAAACCACTGGCACCATGGTGTCAGTCTCTTCTCCCAAGTAACAGGTGATAGGACAAGAGGAAATGGCCTCAAGTTGTGCCAGGGGAGGTTTAGATTGGATCTTAGGAAAATAAATCTTCAGTGAAAGGGTTGTCAAGTGTTGGAACAGGCTGCCCAGGGAGGTGGTGGAGTCACCATCCCTGGAGGTATTTAAAAGACGGGTGGGTGTAGTGCTGAGGGACATGGTTTGGTGGTAACTCAGCAGTGTTGGGTTAACGGTTGGACGTGGTGATCTTAAAGGTCTCTTCCAACCAAAACGATTCAGTGATTCTGTGGTGCACAGGGGTATCTGTCCCATCACAGGCTTGATGTTTTCCACAAAAGAGCATCGTTGCAGGACACACATGTTGGTTCATCCAACAGGGTAACCTCATTTCCTCAGCGCCAGGTAGAGCTTGAGCCCAGGTTGGACCAGGGGAACCTGCGCAGGCAGCGAGCGGTGAGCTGGGGTGGTCAGCCTGTGATGGTCATAGGGTTACAGCCATCACCCCGCATCCTGCTCCAACTGGCAGTGGGATTAGGGACATCCAGAACTGGAAAACCTCTCCTTGCAGGAGAAGCTGACTGGACTGGTTTTGAGGATTTGGGCAGATCGGTGTAGGACGATCAATTTACTGCAATAAATTGTTGGTTTGTTTTTTGGTTTTTGGTGGTTTTTTTAAATAGAAATGAAATGTTTAGTGTCATGAAGTGTAAATTAAAGAACTTTAAATGTGGCAGGTTTTTATCTTTTGTATGTCTGTGACTTGCAGCAAACCTCAAACGATGTTTTTGGATACAAATATTTCTACCTGCTTCTACCGTTTATAAGAATGAACCTCAACATTCCTTTTTTGATATTTAAGCCATAATTGTAAAAATGATTTATTTAAATAATAAATTTTATTACTAAAAGGCCTGTTTCTGTGGTGGATTGACTAGACTCTGCGTGGGGACAGCTGTGTTTGGACTGAGCCAAATGCTAGAAAAAGAAAATGAGCATTAACTGCAGTACGTGGCAGAAAAGAGAGTTTTCCACATATTGGTCATGTGGATGTATTACCCTTCTCTGTTTATTGTGGGGGATTGGAGGGGGGTGTTTCTTGTTGGTTTTGGTGGTAGTGTTTTTTTAACCAGTGATCTTTTCAATGCACTGCAGAGGGGTGAGCATGAAATCATGTTTATGGTTACCTATGAGGCAGAGGGTGAGAGAAACCAGAGATGGAGATATTTTAGGGTGAGTGATTTGAAGAGCTGAGAATTCAGTTCAGGTGTTTTGGAAGAAGGATGTTGGGGGGGGAATAACTTGGGGTAAAAAAAACAAACCAACAGACTTGCAAGAAGGTGGCACTGGGCATCTTTCGGGGGACGGAAAGCACTGGATGATGGAGATGCTTCTATCTTCTGTGCTTTGCATCCAAGGTGTCCTGCAAGATTGCCTCCGGCTTCTAGCTGCTCCTGCCTGTGAGTTCTAGCAGTGGGAAGGGAGTGCTGAGTCCTCTACACTGTCTAAGGGTGTTATTTGGTGTGAGAAATTTGGAATGGGTTACTGTGAACCTGGAAAGATTTGGGGAAGGCTCTTGCGAAATTGCTGTTGAAAACAGAACAAGTTCTGTTTTGTGCAAAATGTTTGAAAACAAGGTTTACCTTTAATTTTTCTCATTCATTATTTTTTTTTTCTTCAAATAGCTAAAATGAGGAAAATGGTCTTGTGTGCTACCTCGTCCTTTTTCCCAACAGCGTCATTCTTTCATCTTCAACGTAATGCTGTCATGCCACTCTGCAAAGACGAGCGTTGCGGTGTATGCCCTTCTAATTGTGAATTCGTAGGAGCTGCCGGGCTGCAGGTCCTGGACTATACACGTGTTAGAGGTGACTTGCTGAAGGCTACTGTATCCCGGCTGACTCCCATTCGTCAGTAATTTCGTGATCAACTCACATTCTTCAGGTTGGGACTCCTGCTCCTCGGTGTACCACTTGAGCTTGGCCCAGTCCTTGTGTGCAACCGACTCATTTCGATCAAAAAGGAGTGGCCTCTTGGCATAGAGAGAAACCTGAATGTCGGGGAGTCCAGCACCTCTAAGACCTGCATACAAGACCAAACGGTGCTTCACATAGAGCTTTCCTGGCACTTGCAAGGAATGAAGATTTTTCACAGACTGGGAGAGCTCTTCCAGTCTCTGCAAAATCATGTCCCACCTGGAGAGGAAAGTTACCATGTCCCAGGTCTCTACAAAACAGCTCAGCTCCTCCCGGCCTTGTTCCAGCTGTTCTAAGAGCTCAGTTAAAAGAACCAGCTGGATTTCAGTCTGGTTTTTCCCCACCTTCTTCATCCTCTCCAATCGGACGGGGTCTATGAGTTGCACGATGTCGGTGCAATGCACCACGTGGTTCTGGTCTCTCACGTTCACGTGTTTGGGCTCAATCTCCAAGTAGAAGTAACACTTCTGCAGCAGCTCGGCGTTGTTCCGGTGGTGCTGGAGGTTGCGGAGGCTCAGGTCAGTGTGCAGGAAATGCAAAACAAGGTTTCTCCTTTCCAAGTATCGCTCCCAGCTGCCATTGTCTTCTCTGCTGTGCCCAGTACTGGTTTCAAGCCCATTCCTAGTCTCAGCCATGATTCTGAAGCTCAGTTGCTCTGTAAGAAAGCAGCAATAACATCATTAACAACCAAAGGAAAACCAGCTGTGAGGGAGAATAATCACAGCTGTGACTCTTCTTTCCTCTCTTAATGATGAAGCTTAGCTTATAAATGTATAGATGGGAAAGAACTGTTAGATTAGGTGTAGCTCCAGAGGAATTTCCCTTTCTAGTTGTATGGTTTCTAATGTTTTGTGCAGTCTTTTATATATTCCAACCAACTGGTCTCCTGCTACTCTCCCTTAAGAGGTTCTACCTCTGCTTAATAGATTCACTGTCAGGAATTATTCTCTGATATACTCTGCCAAAATGTCTCCCTATCTTATTATCTTCTGTTTCATTCTAATTAGATGCCTTTTGTACTCCTGTAAGCAATTTCTTTCCATTCTTCTACATCTCTGGAGATGTCTATTTTTCTCTCTGTGTAATCTGCCAGGGTGTTGAGGTTTGAGACCCATCTTCTGAGCCAGTTCCTACAGCTACATCATCACCTTGGTGATTCAGATTAACCCTTTGCCCCCCCGAGCGAGCTTCTATGCAGCAGGCAGAACCATGCAATAGGTCGAGTACCACCTCAACAGCTTTCAAGAGAAATGCTAGTGCTTTTCCTTGCACCCCTGCCTTTGACAGCAGATTGATAGTTGTAACCTGGTGTTTTCAATCATGTAGTGTTTTCCCTTTGGTTTTAGCTTACATCATCGCCTCAGCCCTACGCTATCTACTCAATTTCTTGTAGAAGAACTCTGTTTGCCCATCACCAATGCACAGTAAGAGACTGAAATTCAAGTAAAGCACCTTTGAACAGGTAATGGTTTGCTGGTGAGAAGGTGTTTAGGTAATGGTCCTTTGTGATGCTGTGTCTGCTCTCAGTCTTAGTCTTGGCTGTTCCATAGAACCATAGAATGGTTAGAGTTGGAAGGGACCTTAAAGATCATCCAGTTCCAACTCCCCTGCCCTGGGCAGGGACACCTCCCACCAGACCAGGTTGCTCAAAGCCCCTTCCAACCTGGCCTTGAACCCCTCCAGGGATGGGGCAGCCACAGCTTCTCTGCACAACCCGTTCCCAGGCTCTCACCACCCTCACAGGAAAGAATTTCTTTCTAGTATCTAATCTAAATCTCCCCTCTTCCAATTTAAAACCATTGCCCCTTGTCTTATCGCTACACTCCCTGATTAAGAGTGTTCCTCTCCATCTCTCCTGCAGGCCTCTTTCAGGTACTGGAAGGCTGCTGTAAGGTCTCCCCAGACCCTTCTCCAGGCTGAACAACCCCAACTCTCTCAGCCTGTCCTCATAGGGAGGTGCTCCATCCCTCTGATCATCTTCGTGGCCCTCTGCTGGACCCGTTCCAGCAGGTCCAAATCCTTCCTGTGTTGAGGACTCCAGAGCTGGACACGGGACTCCAGGTGGGTTCTCATGAGAGCAGAGTAGGAGGAGAGAATCACCTCCTGTGACCTGCTGGCCACGCTTCTCTTGATGCAGCCCAGGATGTGGTTGGCTTTCTGGGCTGCCAGCACGTGCTGAAAGCCAAATGCATCATCTACTGACAAAGCCATGCCCTGGCTGGTGGTGCCTACAGAGCCAACATGGAAGGTGTTCCTCTGCTGTGCTGTAGCTGAAGTACCTGTGGCTCTCACAGCTTACGTACCATAAACAGAAATTAGCTAAATAAGTGCCTGTGTCCCTGTTGTGGGCAGTTTTATAACGAGAACCCAGCTTGAGGTTGAGAACATGGCTTTCACAAGCTGAACACGCTTGATTTGAAAGAGAAATAAATACAGAAGCCTGAAAGTAAGACTTTGTGACCCCAGTCAGACTGTGATGACACAATCTAGCAGCAGGTAACATTCCTCATTCTAAGTAATTTTCTGGTTATAGTTATTTAAGTTCTTGTAGTATCTAACTTAATTCTCACACATCTTGTAGAAGCTAGATGGTGATATCTAGTTGACAAAGCAATTTTCTTAGCCTCATTTTCCCTAAATATGTAATGGAACTAATAACACTTCCTCGTGGGACGTTCAAGTGTTTGTAAACCTTTCAGATGTCTGGCCCCTAGCTGCGCTGCAATTTATACTAATACACTCATTCATAGCAGCTTTCTTCCAAGAGAACTGTCAACTTAAAAAAACAAGCTGTATTTGCTTTTCATGTTTTTTTCTTTCCACAAAAAAAAAAAACCCAAACCAAAAACCAACCCCAAACCCTAAATCAAAGCAGTGCCAGTTCCTGGCATCCCCGTATGGAGTGCAACAGGGACAGCGCATGCACCAGGTTATGTTACCCCACTTTCAGTGCGATTTGGCTCTCTAGAGCGGTCTGTTTGCCCACAGACAGAGCTGTGATTGTGCTTGTTTTCCCTTTCCATTTTTATATCCCTTTTTTTCTTGCCAGAAATGGCTTTTTTCTCAGCAGCGCTGCTATATTTGCTGCCTGGGAGGCTGCAGTCTTAGAATGGAATCATAGAATGGTTTGAGTTGGAAGGGACCTTAAAGATCATCCAGTTCCAACCCCTTGCCCTGGGTAACGACATCTCCCAGGTTGCTCAAAGCCCCGTCCAGCCTGGCCTTGAAACCCCCAAAAAGGATGGGGCAGCCACAGCTTCTCTGGGCAACCTGTTCCAGTGTCTCACCGCCCTCACAGGAAAGAATTTTTTTCTGATGTCTAAATCCTCCCCTCTTTCTGCTTAAATCTCTTCTTGGGCACTCCAACTCCTTCCCCATGCCTCAAACCCAGCCTCTCATCCCAGGACTGAGGTGTCCCCCTCTCCCTGTCGTTGGTTCCCACCAGCCAGCCATGTCCTGGCTGGTGGTGTCAAGCCCCCTGCACCCGCCAGCGTCCCCCTCAAGCCTCTGCTTTTCACTGTGATGCTTTTTTGCTCTTGACAGTGGTGGTTTGTGGGGACATAGCCCGAATCATCTATGGGACTGTAGGTCCCAAAATCATTTGTACCTGCCCCTCTGTAAATCTCAGTCACCCACTTCTCAACTGCACCCCACTTTGTTCTCCAGTCCCTGGAGGAAAGGTGGCACCTCGGGTCCCTGCAGGTTTGGTGACAATGGGGAGATAGCCACCTGTGTGGGGAGAGAAGCACGGCCGCGTTGTCCTCTGCCTGATTAATTAGCTGCATCTGTTTTTACCCCGATGGCGGTGGCTCAGGTCACTCACAGCGTGCCAGCACACAATGCCTGGCTGCTGCAGTCACAATGTGACGCATCTCCTGGTGCCAGGCAAAGGGCGAGGGGTCGGTGTGACCCTCAGGCTGGACATCGTGCTCTTCGAGGTGTGAGGAGGCTCCATCCCCCAGCCCAGGGCTGTGTTTGGGCACTTTCCCGTCCCACCGGAGGGCAGGGAGGAGAAGAGCAGAGGGGCCGAGGGCTCTGTGCTTCCCCCTTAACAGGCACGTTTTGTTTCACTCCCATCTTGTGTCCTTGCTGTTGCAATGGGGCTGTGGCAGTGCTAAGCTGATGAAAGGACCATGTGCAGGGTTTGTCACCGCTGGGGCATCCAAAATATGATTTCCAAAGCTTTGCTTCCCTGTGGGAGATGTTCATGCTGCTCCTCCAGCACATTTCACCTCTGCTCCATGGAGAGGCAGCAGCCTCAGTGTTTTATGAGCCCCAGCTCCAAAGCCAAGGAGTCCAACGGAGCTGCTTCACCCTGGGCTGGTTTAAAGCTCTGTTTTCTCTGCAGAGCCCAGACTTCAGCAGCAAGCTATGGGGACATGGCCTTGAGCCCAGGGTCCCTGCAGGCAGAGGTGGAGCTGCTAAGGCAGGACAGCCAGAAAATGGTAAATTCCAGCTCAGAGCAAGGTGCAGGGTGGGCAGCAGAGAGAAGAAACGCTGGCTCCATCCTGGGAAGCCTTAAGGTAGTGCTAAAGGCACCCTGTGAAGTGGCTGTGGCCAAGCACCGTGCTGGCACTTGGCTGCCCTGTTTCTCCCACTGCAGGCACCTCGCTGGGGTTTTGAGTGGTCTGGTGAAGGTACAGCTCTGCCTCTGGGGCTGGTGAATGCTCCCAGCCCTGGCTATCCAGGCTGCTCCAAACAACCGTGCTGTTTATAAGCATTTCTGGGAGGAGGAGTGTGAGTGCCCCTGCCCTGAATTCCTGAGCATCAGCCTCAGGACCCCACAGCTGCTCTGCCCGGGGCTGGGTGCCCACAGATCACCTTCAGCTTTGCTCTTGGCTGCTTTTCAGGTGTTAATATTTGCCCATAATTACCCATAAGGAAAGCACAGGTGGTTCTGGGGTACTAATGGGATGTGCTGGGCTTTATGGCACGCTGTGGGGTGGGGGTGATTTTGCTTTTTGAGTGTGAATCTCACAGTCTTTACACCTGAGGCAGGACACACTCCAGTGCTTTCCTCTCCATGGCGAGACCGAGGCTGCTCCACAGTGTGTCAGGAGTTCTTCAACTTAAACACATAATCCTTATTAAAGAGACGTGTTGAAATAGGATATAAACTGCGCCATTAAGTGTAGCAGACTTCCTTCAGGGCAGGAAGGGATTTTCCTGTGGGACCTGACTGGCCACTCAGCTCTTTTATTGTGGAGCAGAGACGGGCTCATCTGGTTCACGGCGGCGAGCTCAATAGCATGACCGGGGTGTTCATCAGCAAACCAGAGAGGTGTCCTGCGTCTGAAGGTGCCTTCATACTCCCCGTGATTAAATCTTTGGGTCAGGGCTTAGCCTTAATGCTGTCTTGTACGCTTAGCTGGCGCATCTCTGCTAAGCTTTTTTAATTGAATGATAGGCGAGATCCATAACGCCAGCCCTGAGCTGCTGCTTGAACATCAAGGGAGGAGGCGATCTGTCATTTTAAGAAATCAATGCGTCTTCTCAAGGCAGCCAGAGCTTACCATTTCATTTCACAGCTGCCAAGAGATTAACTATACAATTGTCAGGTGTGATTCCCTAACAGACAAGATAACGAATATGAGTGAAAGACGGTTGATAGCCTTGCTTGGCGGGGAGGGTTAGC